AGGAATAAACCTACCAAAGGTGAAAGACTATTCAATGGAAAAGATAAGTTATTGTTATAAGGAATAGAAGAAAACACAAGAAAATCAAAAGATAGTGCATGTTTATGGACTGGAAGAATTAACATTGCTAAAGTGTCTATATTACCCAAAGCAACACATAGTTTCAATGTAAGCCCATCAAAGTTTCAAACAGAATTCTTCAAAGAAATAGAGCAACATTATTAAAATTTATACAGAACCACAAAAGACCCCAAATAGACAAAGCAATCTTGACCAAAAAAAAAAGCGCAGGACTTCACAATCCCAGACTTCAAACTCTAGTAGACAACTGTCATAACAATAAAAACAGTATGGTATTAGGGTAAAAATAGACACACAGACAAATGGAATAGAACTGAGAACCCAGAAATACACCCACATTTATATGGACAATTCATACACAACATAGTGAAAAAAGAAAAGTCTCTTTAATAAATGGTGCTGGCAAATTGTACAACCACATGCAGAAAAATGACACCATACACAGAAACTAACTCAAAATATGTCAAAGTTGGGCGTCCTTGGTGGCCTAGTGGTTGCCTCATAGAGGTTGTCTTATCACCTCTATGGCCTGAGTTCTATCCCTGGGCAGGGAGCTGATCGACATGGCACAGCAGACCTCTCCTGAATCGTAAGCTGCTCCCCTCAGCAGTGTATTTCAGTAGATCCACCTGTTCTCCTCCCCTGGTGAATCCTCTCACCTATCACCTCTGGCCTAAACCCCAGTTCTTCTATGCAAAAATAAATAATAATAAAAAATCTTTTTTAAAAAAGTGTCAAAGTTGGATGTAAGACCTAAAACCATAAAATACATAGACGAAAACATAGGCAAAATTATGCTACAGCATTGGTTGCAGGGACATCTTTGGGGACTTGATCCCAATGGCAAGGAAATCAATATACACAGAAGATATACACAGAATGGAATAGAACTCAGCAATTAAAACAAAAATGAACTCTTGCCATTTCAACATGGAATGAACTAGAGGCGATTATGTTACGTGAAATAAGTCAGAAGAAAAACGACAAAACCAGATGATTTTACTCATATGTGGAATACAGGGGGAGAAAAAAAAAACAAAGAAACTGACAAAACTGAATCCAAACAAACCCTAGATATACTGTTGCTGGAGTGTGAGGAGAATGGGGGTGGGAACACACAGGGGAGGGGTCCCTATGGCTTCGGGTGAGGGAGTGTGTGCTTTGATTGTGAGTTAGTGTGGTAAAATATGTCTGAAAAGATGTGAACCTATTCCCCTAAATCACACACAGTGCTGTAAATTAATTTTATATCAATAAAGAAAAAACATTTTTTTCATACCGGCTGCCTCTATTTGCCCAGTACCCACTATTTTTTTTTAAATTTATTTATTCATTTTACACAAGCACTGAGTACAGTCAGAAGTGCGGGAGGGTGAGAGGATTCACCAGAGACAGAGTGGGGAGAAGAACAGGCAGATCCACTGAAATCCACTGCCGAGGGGAGCAGTGGGTGAGTCAGGAGAGGTCTGTTGCATCATGTGGGTTGCTCACTGGCTGGATGGGGATCCAGGGATCAAACTCATGCTGCAGAGGCTGCAGATTGCTTCATAGTGCTGTGCTCAACCCCTTGGGCCACCAGGGAAGCCCCACTATTTTTTTTTATTTATCTTACTTCATTTTATTTTATATATATTTTTACATCATTTTTCATTTTTGCACAATGCATGCATTTTCATCTTGGTTATATTCCCCATACAATTCCACCACCCCCCCCTTATTTTGACGCTAATCCCTCCTCCCCTCCCCTAAATTCCTGCTATGAGTGAGACCATCCAGCATTTTTCTTTTTCTTTCTGGCTTATCTTGCTAAGCATGATACTTTCCAGCTCGATCCATGTTGCTGCAAATTGCATGAGTTTATCTTTTTAGATTGCTGAGTAATATTCCATTGTGTATATGTACCACATCTTCTTGAACCAGTCATCTATTCTTGGGCATTTGGGCTGTTTCCAAAGCTTAGCTATTGTAAATAGTGCTGCTATAAACATAGGGGTGCAGGTGCCCTTTGGAATTAATGTTTCTGTGCCCTTTGGTTAAATACCTAGGAGTGGAATTGCTGGATCATATGGAAGCTCCATCTTCAGCAGGTTGAGGAATCTCCACACAGCTCTCCACAGTGCTTGGACCAGTTTGCACTCCCACCAGCAGTGCAGGAGAGTTCCTTTCTCTCCACATCCTTGCCAATGTTTGTTGTAGCTAGTTTTTTTAATATGTGCCATTCTCACTGGTGTAAGATGGTATCTCATTGTACTTTTGATTTGCATTTCCTTTTTGGAGAAGTTCCTTTTTAGCTCCTCTGCCCATTTTTTGACTGGATTATTTAATTTCTTTTTATTGAGTCTTTTCAGCTCTTTGTAGATTTTTGTGATCAGTCCTTTATCATTAGTGTTGTGTGCAAAAATTTTCTTCCAGTCGGTGGGGTGTCTCTTTGTTTTGGTTACTGTCTCTTTTGCTGTACAGAGCTCTTTAATTTGATGTAGTCCCAGCAGTTTATCTTTGCCTTTTCTATCACTGCTGTGGGTGATGAGTCTTTAAAGATGTTGCTGAGGTGTATGTCATGTAGTGTTTCGCCTATATTTCCTTCTATATATTTTATGGTTTCAGGTCTTATGTCTAGTTCATTAATCCATTTTGAGTTGGTTTATGTGCATAGTGTGAGGTAGTGGTCAAGCTTCTTTCTTCTGCATGTAGCAACCCAGTAAGAAAAAACATTTGTGGAAAAGATAAAGAACATCAATAAAGAAAATTAATAATATTTCACTCAACAAAATTTCAAAAACAAAAGAATTGAATTTTTTGTGTTTCTAATTAGAATGCTAAATATGATAAATGGAAGTCCAAGATAAACAATAAGATGGACAAAATTGACATTGCCATTAAATACAATATTTGTAATATGTATTAAATTAGATAATATTAGTAATAACAGTTTTTGAAATTGTGAAAGAAACACATCCATTATTATATCATTTAAAATTTTCAGTCTTCTTTTGTAATGACATGACACTAACAAAGCTGAATGATAAGTAACAAAATGAGTGTGTATATATATATATATATATAAAACTTTCAAGTTGATTAAATATAAATTAAATTACAAATTTTACTTTTATAAGAAAGTAGCCTTCATAATTTTTTTGATTACTTATGAAATATTAAGTAATTTTCATTAATGGAAGTAATTATTTGTAGAAGTCAACATTTCAAGTCCTCTGTGGGAAACAGAATTATAAACATTCTCAGGGGAGATTCACTGTAGGCAAGACAGTGGTGGCTACTGAGAATCAAGGATGGTTCCATATTCCCTCATGGTCTCTAATATAGCAGAGATGTGGCCTGGACTTTGCCTTGTTCCCAGGAAATCAACATACAACTCTCTTCTTAAGACAAAACAAGTAGACTTCAAAAATTTGAGCTGTGAAAGCAACAAGAGGGAACCCAGATTCTAGTTTAAAAATTAATACTCAGAATACCAAATATGGCCATGTCCCTCTCAGTTCACTCTTAAAATACTATTTTTTAAGCTCTTAGATCAATATTCTTGAAAAGGATTATAGTATATTTCTAAATCTTATTAAGGCTTCGGCATTCCATTTTTGTTTCCTGAACTATTTTCTTTGAACAATCATAAAATAAGAGAAAAAATAAAATCAAACTTGATTAGTGTGAATTTTGTTATCATCTGGCCAAGAGGAAGTGATTTTACATGTTATCCTTCACAACAGAAATCTGATATGTAAAACAACTGTCACAAGGTAACAGGTATGTGTGGATAAAAACTGCAAAGGAATAAAACAATTTTTTCATATAATGAAATAGCACAAAAGAAGGACGTGCAGATGGAAAAGACACTGGGCGACTCACTGGGAGACAGAGCTGCTAAGCTCCGAGGCAAGTAGTTACTTTCCAACTTGGGCGTCAGTACACAATGAAAACAGATAAATACTGTATGTTCCTTTCAAACTCAAAAATAAAAAAGTTTCTACATTTCTAGCAAATCATAGATGTCAAGTATTAGTGATTTCAATGGAATTATAAGACAAACCAATAAGTTAGCGAATGTTTTCTATTTGTGAAATAAGGTAATCAGGTTGCATATTCTATATTAAACTAAAGATATACTACTATATAACATATACTATGAAGTATGTATAGTATGCTGTCATGAGTTTGATATTTTACCCATCATATTAATATAAATTATTAAATTTAATTTTGTATGTGAGTTTTAAATTTATAGCTATAAATTTATATATAAACTTAAAAGTTACATAACTTTAAAAGCAAAATTGAAAATGTATAAGCTAAAAATTATAAATTTATTGATCTAATTTTAATAAGTAAAGAAAAGAATGCAAAGTGGTCATAAACTGAAGTCTATTACAAAAAGCATAATGGATTACTTTAGTCGTCTATGTTTCACTTTTTACCTTTCGATGAAATTAAAATCATCCATTTCTGTTTTCAGGTGGTCGTATTCTCTAATAAATACATGGTTGAAAAGAAAAAAAAAATCCAATTTCTTCTTATTGTTTCACCAAAAAAATCAGACGAAGAAGAAGTATTGATTTTACTTATCATCTCTCAGGGATGTGGCCTATTGTATGAAGATTTTCTAAATTCTCCTCCTAGATTTTAAATACGAAACCAGTAAATAAAGCACTCACAAATATGTATTGACACATAACACAGACAAGAAGTATCAAAAGAAGATACAATGGGCATGGATTACAGAACACGCCTTAGAATGGTGGCAATGGTCATGATGAATGAATCCTTCCATGTCCTCCCTTTAATACTTTTTCTACCTAAGTATCTTTAAGAAGAAAACAGAAGGGAAGAGGGGAGAGAAGAGAGAGGGAGGGAGGGAGGGAGAGAGAGAGAGAGAAAGAGAGAGAGAGAGGGAGGGAGGGAGGGAGATGAACCACACAATGATCACAGAGTTTGTCCTCCTAGGCCTTTCTGATGACCCTCACCTTCAAGTTGTGATTTTCCTCTTCTTAATTATCACTTACATATTAAGTGTCGCTGGAAACATGACCATCATCACCCTAACCTTGCTGGACCCCCATCTTCAGACACCCATGTATTTCTTCCTACGCAACTTCTCTTTCTTAGAAATCGCATTCACAACCGTCTGCATCCCTAGATTTCTAGGGGCAATTATCACGAGGGATAAGACTATCTCCTACAACAACTGTGCAGCCCAATTATTTTTCTTTATCTTCATGGGGGTGACTGAGTTCTACCTCCTGACAGCCATGTCCTACGACCGCTACGTGGCCATCTGCAAGCCCCTGCACTACACCACCATCATGAGCAGGAGGCTGTGCACGCTGCTGGTGGCCTGCGCCTGGGTGGGCGCCTTCCTGACAGTGTTCCCCCCCATCGTGCTTCTCCTGCAGCTGGATTACTGTGCTTCCAATGTCATCGACCACTTTTCGTGTGACTTTTTCCCCATTTTACAACTGTCTTGCTCAGATACGTGGCTCCTCGAAGTGATTGTGTTTTATCTTGCTTTGGTAACTTTACTGTCCACTTTGGCATTAGTCATTTTATCTTATATCTTTATCATCAGAACTATTTTGAGATTCCCATCTGCCAGTCAGAGAAAAAAGGCTTTCTCCACCTGTTCCTCTCACATGATTGTCATTTCCATCTCTTATGGAAGCTGCATATTCATGTATGCTAACCCCTCTGCAAAAGAAAAGGCATCACTGACCAAAGGGGTGGCTGTTCTCAACACCTCCGTTGCCCCCATGCTGAACCCCTTCATTTACAGCCTGAGAAACCAGCAAGTCAAACAAGCCTTCAGAGATGTGATCCGTAAAGTAGTGTTTTCCGCAAGTAAATGAAATTGTTTTGACCAAAGCAAGCACTTTAAAGAATAATTAAGTAACATCTTGAAATTCCTAAATTTCTAGATAACTGTGCTTGTTCTCGATAGCTTCTTTATATGCCACATTATGATCCACTTCATATTTCCCAGTAAATTTCTTTTTTTTTTTTAATTTAAAGAGCAGGTTTACTGCACCCCTCTGTTTATAGCAGCACTGTTTACAATAGCTAAGCTTTGGAAACAGCCCAAATGCCCAAAAATAGATGACTGGATCAAGAAGATGTGGTACATATACACCATGGAATATTACTCAGCATTCAAAAAAAGATAAACACATAAAATTTGCAACAACATGGATGGCGCTGGAAGGGATCATGCTCAGCGAAATAAGCCAGAAAGAAAAAGAAAAATCCCGGATGGTCTCACTCATAGCAGGAATCTAGAAAACTTAAATAAGGGACCAGGAAAATGAATAACTGTAAGAAAGTGAAAATCAAAATCAACAAAAAATTATGAACCAGAGACACTCTATGGGGGGGAGGAGGGATTGGGGTCAAAATAAGGGGGTTGCAATTGTAAGGGGGATATAAAAATAAAATTTATTTAAAAAAAAGAGCAGGTTTAGTAGCATAGTGACAGAAAAGTAAAAAGACACTTGCATAGACTCCAGCAGGCAGGTTTTCCAGTCCATTTCTCCCATTTCCATATCCTAGTTGTTCCAATGACTTTTTATTGAGTCATTGAAAAATAAAGTTTATTTCTGCTGCAGAATTTTCTGGAAATAAAATGAATTTTTTAAGACATATTCTATAATACAATGTAAAGAGCAGCTTTGTTTCTATTACATCAGTCCCTAGAAGGCATGTCACATCGTGCTTCAAGTGTAGAGTTTCAAAATTAGTCTAACATCTCTTGTGTATTTTTCAGGTGAACATTGATGATTTCTTGACATCTCAAGAATTTATGTGTTCTGTATTATTGTATATTAAATTCAGTCCTTAGAGGTAATATGCACTAATGCTTTGAACTTATATATGTAGAATTATATCATTTGTAAAATTTAATGCATATTTTCAAGATAAATACTGATCATGGTATTAAGTATTATTTATAAAATTCCCATGTTCTTTAAACCTTTTAAGGAAATATTTATATTTTTGGAGAGGATTTTTGGATGTACATATTTTACTGTCTTCAGCAACCAAACTGGTTTGTACAGGGAAGACCATTGCCATTCACCCCACCTAGAGATTCCAGAGGCATTTCAAACCATTTTTGGGATTGTATTTTCTCAGACTTATGTTTGGGGACACCTAAATAGAAAATGTTTCCTCCCCCCTTTTTTTTTCTGATGAAACTAATGATCTCTTGCTCCCTATTTCATCTGGGATAACTCAGATTCTCGAAGCTGTAGGATCTCACCCAATACACAATAAGTATCAAAAAATTTATTACTGTGGGCCTCCCTGGTCGCACAAGGGGTTAAGACACAGCACTATGAAGCAATCTGCAACTACTGCAGCACGAGTTCAACCCCTGGCCAGGGAGCTACCCACATGGTGCAGCAGACCTCTCCTGTCTCGCCTGCTGTTCCCCTCAGCAGTGGATTTCAGTAGATCTGCCTGTTCTGCTCCCTCCTCTGTCTAGTGAATCCTCTCACTCCCCCCATCTGTGGCCTGCACCCCAGCTCTTGTATGCATAATTAAATAAATCTTTAAAAAATTTATTACTGAATGAATAAATGATAGTAATTTTAATCATAACAGGTTTTTTATGTCTTCATTGAGTGAAAGGTGTGAAATTTTAAAGACAAGCCTGACATCTCTTGTGCAGCAAAATAATGAAGGACTCAGTCCCTGTCCAAAACATCACAATGAATGAATGCTTATTTTTAATTCATTAATTTATTTTTTAATTGAGGCAATATTTGGGTACCACCATTACAAACACAGTGCACCCACCACCAAATCCCCCATAATCCATTGTGATTCCTTCCTCTTTGTTCTTAGCCCTCCCACCCCACCCAGGCTTGGCGCTTTATTCTGTAGTCAACTAGCAAGGGTTATTTTTTTAAATGTTTCTTTATCTGACTGTTAGTTTAGTTATTTTATCTTCCACATATTAGTGACAATGTATGAATTTTTCACATTTTCTCTAGGATCTCGCTTGTTCACAAGAGCTTGTTGTCATTTAGAACAGGCTAATCTCTATTACTCCATCAATAAATTACTTCCATTTGTGACGTTATGGATTATGATGAAATTGCAAATCCTTCAACATAGTTTTCAATCCTCATTTCAGACTCCTAGCACCTAAATAGTCTGTTCTAAATTGTATAATAATTCACACTAATTTTTTTTAACGCTTGGTATCTTGAGAACACCGATCTCTGTGGTGTCTTTTGTTTATTCGTTCAGCGAATCCCCCAGAGCTATCATAGTGGAGTAGATAAAATGATGGCTAGCTTGAATACAGCAACATCTCTTCACAAAAAGGCATATCATCTAGTCCACCAGGCTTGCAGACATTATATTAATCTTCATTTCAGCTACAGCTTATTTCAAATATCAAGATACTTCTTTTTGTGGCAACAGGTACAATATCCTGGTAACTCAAATCCTGAGAGAAATTTAGTTGATAGATGCCCTTTTTGTAAACATTGTAGAAGACCTAGAATCATTCTTCATTATCAACATTTTGAACATTTGTTACAAATATAGAAGGACAGAGGAAAAACAAACAGTTTTAAAGAATCACAAAGAAATTCTGTTTAAACAAATTAAAGATACTATAAGAAATGACAGTGACTAAAACTGTCACCTTTACCATAAAAGTAAGTATGTCTTTGACAGCTTATTTCAGAAAATATCTTGAATAGGGCTAATGTATGTTATATAGATACATTTATAACACAATGTAAATAATATCAAACCAAGTAAGTTATATGTGAAACATATATGAACAAAATTTTAAACTACTGTAATTTAATAGTTTAATGAGTTTTTTCGTTTAAACATATATTTCATTGATAAGACTAATTTTGTGTTCTTGTGTAGATAGTGCTTAATAAACATTTTGATATAATCAATATGAGGCCCCTAGTTGTAATTTTTGTATAAGATTCAACACAATTTATTTGATGTGCCTTCTTTATTACTGATGTAATTTTTGTTTCCATTTTGCAAAATATGGGTTCTATACATATTGAAAGTTTTCACCCATCATTTATAAGGAAAAAAAACAGATTAAATGAACACAAAGACAACAGGTAATGGAAAGGAAAATATATTCCTCCCAGTAATTTTCAAAGTTAAATATTTTGAGTAAATTCATAACATATTAAATTAGCTGGCTAATCCAAGAAAATATTATTACTTTTGAAAGCTCTGAAGAATGTTGAAAATAAATGTAACAGACTTAAGGCATGTTACCTGGAAATTTAAATACATAACATTGGTATCAGACGCCAGCACATCTAAAGTTTTGTGGAAAATAATATCTTTAAACAATGAAACAAATTCTATATAACATCAAAGTTAAAGCCCAAAAAGAGAAAATAATGAAAGTAACCCTTACCTCTTGAAAACTTATTTTGAATGTTGAACTATTCCATTTTATCATCCTTAAGAAAATTACATGTAATATTGTGGAAAGCTTAATTCCATTTGGAATTATATAAGAAAGCTACATTTTACAAAAATTTATATTGCTTAAGAAAAATCCTGCTGTACATATGATAGAGAAGCTTCATGATAGTACATTTATAATCTTGTATAAAATTATTATAACATGTTAGTAATTGAAACTAGAATCTATTGTATTTCATTCACTGGAATCGGATTGAGGATATCCTGCTACATTAAACACCTCTGCAAACTATTATCAGGACACATTAGTTGACTAAAATGGACAACTGGATTGTCCTTAGAGATTGTGAAAGTATGAATGGAGAAGGAAAAAAAAAGTATTTATTACAAAAAATTATATAATAAAAAGATATATATGTATATAAATATATTTATATATTAGATAAAACACATTTTATATATTTGAAGAAGAAAGCAAGAAAATAACAGTCTTGAAAGAGTATTTTGTATATAGGAGGTATATACAGAAAAATAAAAAGGTATGTCTCAGATAAAATTCTGAGATCTTATTTTATTAATCTCAGGGGTTTTAATCTTTTTTAAAAAAATTTATTTATTCATTTTACACAAGCACTGGGTACAGTCATAAGCGGGGGAGGGTGAGAGGATTCACCAGAGACAGAGTGGGGAGCAGAGCAGGCAGACTGACGAAATACACTGCTGAGGGGAGCAGCGGGCAAGGCGGGAGAGGTCTGTCAAGCCATGTGGGGCCCTCACCGCCCGGCTGGGGATCAAACTGGTGCTGCAGAGGCTGCGGGCAGCTTCCCAGAGTGGCGCTCACCCTCTTGCACCACCAGGGGAGGCCCGGTTTTAATCTTTTTCTTTGTTCTCTGGAATGCATTAAGACAAATATTATCCTAAAATATGTGAGAATACAATAAAGGAAATATAGAAATAATGAATTAATATATGACATAGTAAATAACATTATTTTAAAGTATTTTGTTTTAATGTACAAGAAAATCATTTTTCTCTAAAAGCAAAATTTAAAGTTTTTTTAATGTATGTATTTGCATATGCATGTTTGAGTTTCTTTGCCGGTATTATAGCTTTCCTATTTCTTCCTCTTTTATAGCTAAAACAAAGAATATTCTCATAAAGAAGGAAAATAATGATAAATCACACAGAAGTAAAAGAGTTTATTCTTCTTGGACTGACAGATGACCCCCAGTGGCAGATTGTACTTTTCGTATTTCTTCTTGTTACCTACCTGCTGAGTGTGACTGGGAACCTGATTATTATCACCCTCACCCTCTCAGATCCCCATCTGCAGACACCAATGTATTTCTTCCTTAGGAACTTCTCCTTCCTAGAAATCTCATTTACCTCGGTCTGCATTCCCAGATTCCTTGTCACCATTGTGACAGGGGACAGAACCATTTCCTATAATGGGTGTGTGGCCCAGTTATTTTTTTTCATCTTCTTGGGGGTGACAGAATTTTACCTGCTGGCAGCCATGTCCTATGACCGCTATGTGGCCATCTGCAAGCCGCTGCACTACACCACCATCATGAGCAGCAGAGTGTGCTTCCTTCTTGTGTTCAGCTCCTGGCTTGCAGGATTCTTGATCATCTTTCCACCCATAATCCTGCTGCTGCATTTGGAGTTCTGTGCCTCCAATGTAATTGATCATTTCATCTGTGACTCTTCTCCAATTCTGCAGCTTTCCTGCACAGACACTCACTTTCTAGAACTTATGGCATTTTTTTTAGCTGTGGTAACACTCATGGTTACTTTAAGCCTGGTTATTCTCTCTTATACGTATATCATACGCACAATTCTGAAAATTCCTTCCACAAATCAAAGGAAAAAAGCCTTTTCCACGTGTTCCTCCCATATGATAGTCGTCTCCCTCTCTTATGGAAGCTGCATCTTCATGTACATTAAGCCTTCTGCAAGGGAAAGAGTGACTTTAAGCAAAGGAGTAGCTGTGCTCAATACTTCAGTGGCTCCTCTCTTGAATCCTTTCATCTATACCCTGAGAAATCAGCAGGTGAAGCAAGCCTTCAGGAATATGGTCCAAAAGATTATCTTTTCTTCAAATAAGTGAATGTGATTATGCGAACAATGTCCTGAAAACAATAATGAATGAAAAAGTCACTACCCTTCTCTACATAAATTCTTAAAAAACCTCATTTCACTCATGCAGTTAGGCACATTGAAATGTCGTTATCATCAATGTTTCTTTTTTATTAGCCCAAAGTAAACAATTATCACAAAATGAAAAGTAAAAGATGATTTTATTTGATTTTAAATCATTGTTGGGGGATCTGAAAAAATATATGAAGCAATACACGTTTTATTTTGTAAAATTATAACAAATAAGCAGAAACATGTAAGTGAAATTCAGGAGTGTGGAAAAACAACATGCAAATGTTAAGTAATATATACTATGTAAAGTATATAGTTTATAGGTCTCAGGTAAAAAGGAGAAAGATGAAAATAAGAGGATAAGGGAAAATTGATTACATTGATTGACAGAAGTTATCTGAAAAAGTGAGTCTAGCAATCTAATGATCAGTCAGTACAATTAATGATCAGTCAGTACAATTATATGAATTATATTGTACCGTTATACAATAGTATTATGTTTTAAGATGAAATACTATTTATAAATATTGTGAAACAATGAATATTTGATTGCAGATGTGAAGACTGGTAACAAATGTATCTGTTATATTTTTGGAGGTCATGGTTTTAAGATTTCAAAATATATTTATATTCATTTAAAGTTCACACAGTAATCTTTCAAAAATACATTTCCACTAACAATAGGAAAATTGTATATATGTAGTACATGCAACATCACAAACATATTTACTTTCATTGGTGAATAATAATCTTGAAAGTTGATTCTGATAAATATAAAGTTAAATGTTTGCTTGGTAGAAAAATTTCTTAACATTTTTGCAAATTGGAACTTCCTTAATTCATGCTCCCACACAGCATTCCTCAAATTGTGGCTATTACTAAGTATTCTCAACAGAATAACAGTTATTCATGGACCCTTGAATCCCTGGGGCTCATAAAAATAAGTGGTGATTATCGAAGGAAGTATAATCATTAGGGTATAATGATGACAAAATCTAAGAAAAAAATCACACAATTGGACAATTGTGGAAAACCCTTTTTGCCTTACAGACAAAAATGCTTGGAAGAAGAATTTGAAAGAAATGAATTGTAACTTAATTAGAATAAAAAAGTTAGATATCAGTTATTTTCTACCTCCATTTCTGCCCTAATTTAACCAGATTTCCTGCATTTAAATTCCTCTAGGAATAGACTAAATATTATCACATTTTCTAAGATATTCTACTTATTTGGATTTCTTTAAAGACAAACCACATTTTATTTTCTTGAAAAGCAACATTCTGATTCAGAACTAGTGGTGGCATTTTCCAGTTCTGCACAGCCACTTTTTCGTATTATCTATTTTCTATCAAAAATATTCAGGGTTTTTTTTTTTTTTTTCATTCATTCCAATTCACACAATGTTAAGGAAACCGTTAAACACAGGACAATATCCAATTCCATGAATGTATAAAAGGCAGTTTTACTCAAGCAATAGCATTTCAAAAAGTTCTGTTTTTAGATTAATATCAAAAACCGAGAAAACATTATGCTGAAGTTTGAGGCACTAATTCAAACTCTGTTTTAGTATCAATTACAGTGAGTTCCATATATTGAACATTAACAATGCAAAAAACATTTAAAATTGTTTGCTTATAGTGTGGGTGTTATCACATTTAATTCTCAAACCCTCTTATTATCATTGCTTTATTTCAGGTAAGCAAAATATGATATATTTGAAAATACATTATGTGATTCATTGAAAAGTTTAACATTTTTGATATAAACAAACATCCAAAATTAGGTAAGTTGGCAATGAGGAAATACTGACATTTTCAAATAAAACATTTACATCACTATTTTTTATTGCAAAATATTTTTTTTATTTTATTGCAAAATATATCCTACCTACAGCAAAGCACATGAAGTAAAAGATGTCAATTTATTACCACATCTTCTTGATCCAATCATCTATTTTTGGGCATTTGGGTTGTTTCCATAGCTACATTGCACAAAAATAAAAAATGATATAAAAATATATAAAATAAAATAATTTTTTAATTGGGAAGGTGGAGACTTCCTTAAGTCTATCAGCCACATCTTGGAAGAAGACACGTTACTGAAACTTGGTGATGACAATTTTTTAAGTGGTTGAAGCACTTTGTTATGCTGACTGTAACATTTGAAAAAAATAGAATAAGAAATACAATGTGGATTTTGGTTAAAAAAAATTCTATCATTTAAATGTCTTTCGAAATAAAACGATCAGCCTCAGTCACCAATAGTCCTTCCCCAGTCTCACTGGCTGCTATGACAAGTCCAACAGACAGATAGTTCTAAGTTCAAAAAGAATTAAAATTTGGCATTATAATAAATAATTGCTGTATAAAAAAATGAGAATTAAATAATTTAGTAGCTAAAAACAATGTACCAGAGTCCAACTGGTCTAATAGGAAAATGAGACAAACATAATGAAACGGTGCACAGCTGTGCTTGTCTAATTTTCTAAGTTGAAAGAAAAAATACTTAAGGATGTTCTTAGAAAATCAATTTCATGATTAGATGTCATTCTCCCAATTTTCATTTTATCTTGATGTGCCAAACGACTTCTAAAAATAGACACTCAATGTCAATTTGTTAATAAATAAAATTTTGAATAACATATTTTAGGTCCTGTGATCCTTTCCCTTTTCTATTTTCTGCTTCTTCACAAGATCATGCAATTGAGTTATATTATCTTGATAGTTATTTATCTCAGGTAAAAATAAAACAAGCATTATAAATCCATAATAAATCTAAGACTGCTATTTTCTTACTATTATTCTTTGCATTAACAACTCTCTGATGTTTGTTTGGTAAAAATTCTTTTCCAAGGACACTTAATTAAAATTATTCCACTGAACTTGAGTGTGCACGCATCATCACTCTCCAGGGGGTGTTTAATTGGTTTCCTGCAAGAATTCCCTGTGACTATGTTGAGGGGGGCGGAAAAAGAAGCAAACAGATAAAAACCTGTCTGTTTTGGGAATAATAGAAACCCAAGTTTTCTGGCTGAAAGGTAAAGAAAGTTTAAAAAAAAAAAAAAAAAACAACTTTCCCAGAAGATACTATGGGGCAAGTAAAATATTAATAGATTTTCTTAACATGTAAGGTTATTTTTATGGATGTTGTTATTTTATGGATATTGGGGGGGTGGAAATATTGAATGCCTGACCTTGAATGATGCCACTTGGAACAGTTCTTGGATGAATAGTTCTTTCAAGGGTTTTCTCCCTCACAAACTTTTACTTATTTCCATGCAACTCAAGTCTTTCTTATAGCTATAATTTCCCTTTTCTCACTCATGCATCAACTCGTCATTTATCAACTAACCACTGCACTTAACCAGTCAAATATATGACTTTGTCACCTCTGTTTGCCTGCTGTAGAGTTACTAATGCCTAGATTCCACATCTTTCTTCTGTGACTTAGTTTTATATTTTGAAAATCTTGCTCCATACCAGAAAAGTTTAGTCTCTGATTCTACCATAGAACCAATTAAAATCATAGGATAAATACATATTTTCTGGTTTGCGCACCCATTTTCATGGCTTCTAGCTTTACCTCTAAACAGCAAATTAATACCAGAGACTGTTACTCACTGATCAATTTTGCAACAGTATTTGTGTCTTAGCCTTTCAGACTTAACAGGGGTTGACAACTTGGGACCTCCCAGTGAGCTCTGGCAAGGCCTTATGTCATCGACCCTTTTCAGGATCCCAAATTGCAGGACCTTTTCAAGGCTTTGCTTGCAGTCTGTATGCAGCCACTGGGAGTGTGTCACCTCACAACCAAGACATCTCCAACCTGGGAAATAAAGTTTCTTTTGGGTGTATTCTTCAATAAGTTCTATTTCCCCTTATGAAACCTGGATCATCCCGCTAATTCCACCTCTGTACCATGTGAGTATGTGATTCTTAAGAAAATCAAAGTCAGCAACTAGCTGTGAATTCTATGCAGTGCTTCAAAAATAACACAACAATACTGTCACCAAAAAGAAGCAAGACTACAGAGTGCTTGGCATTGAGCAAATTGTTTCCACATGGGATTATATAATTGTAAATATATTTTTCATTTCTCAACTCCTTTATTTTCCCTTTTGTTAATAACTTTAGTACTTAGATCAGTTAACTTTGGTTGTTAGAGTCTCTTCTGAAAAGCAATAGGTTATTATATAACTCAGAAAGGAAAAACTTTAAATTTGTTTTTCTTGTTTATGATTATAGAAAAATTGTTTTTGGTGGTCAAGACTCTTTTGTTATTATTAATGCTTTCTATAGGCAGGAATGAGTTTAAATGCCTTAAAAATTATGGAGAATAACTGAAAAGAAAAAACTTCATGCTCATTCATCTTTAGTGATCATTAGAACTTACGGTTATTGGTAAGATATCTTAATAAAAATGAAATATGTTACATTCTAGAGTGTTCTTCCTAATTTTAAGCATATGACAAAATTTCAAAACCTTTAAATATCAAAATACATTGGAGAAGTTTTTCTTATACAGATGTGTTTAGTAGACATTTCAGGTGCCTCAATATAAATGGCTAATTATCTACAAGATAAAGGATATTAAATATCTTTGTCTATATATATATATAGTCAGAGTTCATTACAAATTGGTGGCTGATTGATTGGTTCATTAAAGGTCTTATATATTTGTCTAAAGCTGCAAAAGTCATTTTAAAAAGTAACCTTAGACTCACTAAATCATTTTTTCTTGTTGGCATTTCCAGACCTGAAAGAGTCAGAAGAAAGAAATGAAAAATCATACATCTGTGACAGAGTTCATTCTTCTTGGGTTGACCGATGACCCAAAACTAAATATTTTGATTTTTCTCTTTCTCTTTGTCACATATATACTGAGTATAACTGGAAACCTGACAATTATCACCCTTACCCTGGTGGATGTACACCTCAAAACTCCTATGTATTTCTTCCTTAGGAATTTCTCTTTCCTGGAAATCTCATTCACAACAGTGACTATTCCGAGATTTCTGGTCAGCCTTGTAACAGGGGATAAGACCATTTCCTACAATTCATGCATGACCCAGGTATTTTTATTCATACTCCTTGGTTCAACAGAATTTTTCCTCTTGACAGTTATGTCCTATGATCGATACGTAGCTATCTGTAAACCGTTGCATTATACGACGATAATGAACAACAAAGTCTGCAACCAGCTTGTGATCAGTTGCTGGCTGATTGGATTTATCATTATCTTTCCAGCTCTAGTACTGGCTCTTCAACTGGATTTCTGTGACTCCAATATCATTGACCACTTTACCTGTGACTCTTCTCCTTTATTTTTGATCTCCTGCACAGACACAGCCTTACTGGAGCTCATGGGGTTTTTCCTGGCAGTATTAATAATCGTGGTAACCTTAATACTAGTCATCATTTCCTATGCATTCATCCTCAAGACCATTCTGAGAATCCCTTCTGCTGAGCAAAGGAAAAAAGCCTTTTCCACTTGTTCCTCACACATGATTGTCGTGTCCATTTCTTATGGAAGTTGCATTTTCATGTATGTCAAAACTTCGGCAAAGGAAGGAGTGGCTTGGACCAAGCGGATAGCCGTGCTCAATACCTCTGTGGCCCCAATGCTGAATCCTTTCATTTATTCCTTGAGGAACCAGCAAGTAAAGCAATCCTTTAAGAACTTAGTCAAAAAATGTTGCTCAAATAAATTTTAATCATAAAGAAATGTATGGCCTGAACTTTACCTGGAACCGATGACAAACACAAAATGATCATTACTAAATTTCTCTATTAACTACTGTTCAACTTGTTTTCTTTCATTCTTTGCTCTCTGTTGTTCCTATTTGACCTAACTTGGTTCAACTAATTTTTTTTATTATATTTGTATGCCCTGATCGTTTGTTAAGCCTGAATGCTTTGATATCACATAGATGAGACTGACATTTCACAAGAATGCCAGAATTCAGTTTGAACATGTACTGAAGAACTTTCACCATAGGCACAAATCCAAAGCTAAAGAAAAGTAATTATCAAGAAGTTTTAAAAATAATATCTAAGTCCAGGCCTCACCAGTGGTGCAGCAGATTAAGTGCAGCACCGTGAAGCTGTCTGCAGCCTCTGTAGTGCCAGTTTGATTCCTGGCCGGCCATGGAGTTACCCACATGGTGTGGCAGACCTCACCTGTCCCACCTGCTGCTCCCCTCAGCAACGTTTTCAGTCTGTCTGCCTGGTCTGCTCCCCATTCTGTCTCTGGTGAAACCTCTCACCCTCTCGTGCCTCTGACCTGTACCCCAGTTCTTGTTTAAATAAATCAATCTTTTTAAAAAAAATCTAAGTCCATAAGCACAGAGTATTAACAGTAGCTCCACTGTAAGGTTCAGTTCCCATTTTCCAGTGTGTCACTTTTAGTCCTTGAATCTCTTTGGTTTTACTTTATACATATTTGTGTTATTTGATGCATAGGTGTTGTATCTTTATATTCAATTTCATCCTCTAAAATTACAACATTTGGGTCCCCCCGGTGGTGCAGTGGGTTTTGCACAGTGCTGTGGAGCTGTCCACAGCCTCTGCAGTGCGGGTCTGATTCCCGACCAGCCAGGGAGATACCCACATGGCGTGGCAGACCTCTCCTGTCTCGCCCGCTGCTCCCCTCAGCAGTGTTTTTTGGTCGTCTGCCTGTTCTGCCTCCCACTCTGTCTCTGGTGAATCCTCTCAACCTCCCACACCTCTGGCCTGTACCTCAGCCCTTGTATAAATAAACAAATGTTTTAAAAAATAAAATAAAATAAAATTACAACCTTTGCATTTACTGTTTTATAAAGAAAAGTCCAAAGTTACTACAAGCATGGATTTGATATTTGTGTGTTGGACCCTGCTACCCTCGCCATGAACCATTTTTTTCTGGAATACACTGGTGGTTGCTATATAACCTGCTGCTTTCTTTTATTTTACGGATGCTGGACCTGGAGCTCATCTGAAGCTACTTTGGAAAGAAACTGTCTTGTCCTGTGTTTCATTAGATCCAATTTCTGCTCTTTTGATAGTTTTGGCAATTGAAACCATAAACCTTCCAACTTCCAGGTTGTTCTCAAATGGTACAGGATGCCGATGATACAGCGGCTGTGCGCTGTTGCCATGGTTATAGCTGCCGCAGCTGCTGCTTTCGCCCTGTCTGGCTTTGAAACACCAGGAATTTAATCCTCGAACCATCATGGGATCTTGTCTCACGAAGCCATAGAAAGGAATTCGTAGACAGACTCTCAGATAAATCAGCGGAGAGAAGCAAATCTTTATTTGGAGAACAAAGAGGTTTATTTAGAGGGAAAAGGAATAAAAGCGAAGACTCCAGTGCAGGGATCCAGGGAGGGGTAACAGACACGCTCAGGCCCGTGTCTAGGAGATATTTAAACCTTTTTTCTCTATTCTAAAGTCTCATCGTCCTCTCTGTGTTAGCTCTCTCTGCACTTCCCTGAGCAGCGTGTCCAGCTTACAGCTCTTACCTTAGCCTTCTGTCACTGCCCCATCCAAGGTCTCTTAAAATGTCCTGATCTTATCAGCCTTAAAATGTACTGTCCTCATTAGCCCTCCTGGGTTTCTCTGCCCTTATCTCAGAAGCCTCTCTCACTCTCCAAAGACCTTGCCTGCAGTGTCCCTGAAGCTGCCATACTTTGGTAAATCATTCCATTGAAAATGAAAGTCCTTGGGCCTCCCTGGTGGAGCAAGGGGTTAAGCACAGCACTATGAAGCTATCTGCAGCCTCTGCAGCATGATATCAATTCCCCAGGTGTGGGGCTACCCACATGGCATAGTAGACCTCCCTGTCTGGCCTGTTGCTCCCCTCAGCAGTGTGTTTCAGTCAGTCTGCCTATTCCGCTCTCCATTCTGTCTCTGGTGAATCCTCTCACCCCCGCACCTCCGGCCTGCACCCCAGTTCTTGTACGTATAAATAAATAAATCTTTAAAAAAAGAAACGAAAAGAAAATGAATGTCCTTCCCTAACTGCCCAGAACTTAAAGTGTACTCGCAAAACTACTTCTTCATCCCGATTGTCCTGTAGAATCACCTCATTTCATCTTCATCCCAACTTAATTCTGACCTCAAAATGTATGTTTGCCCACCAAAATCTACATGAGAACCAAGGATAATTTGAAAGATAATCAAACAAGAGACTATTTTTTCCATCAGTTTTTCCCATTGCCTTATACAAAGTCTAATATTAATTAATATAAATGTTAATATTCTATTTTCCTCAACTCCCATTTTGCCCATAGGGACACAATTGAAAAGTTACCAGAATAATTCCACTGTAAATTGACCAGTTTTTTTCTCTGAAGAGGGTTCTGTTTCCCACACAAATGCTCCTGTAGTATGTTCAAAAACACATGAAATTTTTATGTCTGTTTCTTTTGCAAGAAACTTCTTTGAAAAACCTGTCTCTGAGAAATGTCAGGAAAATCAAGATATATAAATTCTAAAACAAAATATTTCTCAGAATATGTTCATTGGATTGTCTCATACTCACAGACTGAGTTTTAGGTTGAGAACGGGGTGGTTTATGACAGAGGATAATCTAAACAAAATAATTAAATTTTGAATTTTGAACATATAAAAGTGAATTCCTTTTATAAATTATGTAAAAATCACACCTCTCTAACAATCTCTTTGAAATGCATGTAACATGATATATATGTATACACGCATGTATATGCATTAGATTAGCGGAAAACAGAGGTGAGAAATCATGAAATTCAGTCCATGAAGTTACTGACAATCATTGCTAGATTTCTATGCACCTAGTCAACATACATATGAGGAGCAATTACCACATTTTTGTAGGTATTCAAATAATCAAGGAAAGACTATACGACTTTGCATATACCGGCATAGATTATATGCCATTGATATTTGAACAATCACTATAAGTGGCTCAAACTATTTAATTAGTAGAAATGAATATATTGGAATTAAATGTGAAATTCAGAACCCTAAGAATTAAACAAAAATCAATTAGTGTAAAACCAAAGAAAATAAAGATAATGTGAAAATTAACAAAAAGTAAAGCAGTTTGATTAAAAAGTTAATTACAAAAAATTTTGCCATTTTAATATAACAAATGTAAGACAAATATAAATATTGCTATAACATTTTTAACACTCACAGACAAAATTATATGTATAGTTATGTGATAGTAATGTAATTGTGGTACTATGTACTATGTATAAAAACACTTAAAACTTAAAAAGATTATTAATTAGCAAATATTCATAAGGCAATAGGTTACATGAATGTATTTTTAACTATGAAAGGAATTACTGAAAATATGCAACTCTTTAAAACTGTGCATCCAGACATTAAAAGATTTTATTTAAGTAACATTTTTGTATGTATAAACCATTCATTTAGTGTGTGTGTGTTTGTGTGTGTAATTCCATACATAGCTTATTAGTATATGGAAGAGTTTACTTTTCAGAACACACAGTGGAAGGGACTGACAACATAAGCAAATCAAATGGCGAAGCTTTGTGCTTTATTAATATTTCCCTCACCTGTAAACAAACCCTGTGTTATTAAGATTACCAGAGGAGGGTGAGTGCTAGTGACAAAGCAGGGAAGGAGAATAATGTACAATGTTGGAGGATTATGAGTGGTTTGGTTGTAGATGTGATGTGGCAACACACATTTGAAGAAGTTTGAACTCATATCCCTAAATATCACACAGTGTTATAAACTAAACTAAAAATTAAAAATAATACAATTTGAATATTAAATAAATAACAAGCCTTCAAATTTATAATTTCAATTTGACATCTTTGTCTTTAAACTGGTATATTTACCATTAATTTTTTTGTGAAAATAAATATAGTTAAGTTTACTTTTAAAAATTTTTAGAACTAAGCAATACATCACCAAATGAGGATAAATATTCCACAGAAAGGTACATACACACCATTTTTTCTGTATCACACAAGATTAAAAATATCTGTCTTTTTAAAGTTAAATTTACGTTAAAATATTCATTCTTATTAAAGTATAAGATGCAAACAAATCTGAAAATATGCATGAATAATTTATTCATAAAATCACAACCTTGCAGCAATTTTTGTAGAAACTTACTCTCATTTCCCTGATGATAAGGGATGTTGAACATTTTTTCATATGCCTGTTGGCCATTTGCATCTCCTCTTTGGAGAAATGTCTTTTAAGTTCTTCTGCCCATTTCTTTACTGGATTGTTTACTTTGTTTGGTTGAGTCATGTGAGTTCTTTGTATATCTTTGTGATTAGTCCCTTATCAGTTGTATGGAGTAAAAAAATTTTTCCCACTAATAGGGTGTCTCTTTGTTTTGGTTAATGTCTCTTGTGCTGTGCAGAAGCTTTTCAGTTTGATGTAATCCCAGGTGTTTATCTTTTCCTTGACTTTCTTTGCTTTGTGTGATGACTCTTTAAAGATGTTACTGAGATGTATGTCTTATAGTGTTTTACCTATTTTTTCTTCTATATATTTTATATTTTCAAGTCTTATGTCCAGTTCTTTTATTCATTTTGAGTTGATTTTTGTGCACAGTGAGAGGCAGTGGTCTAGTTTCATTATTTGCATGTGGTGGTCCAGTTTTCCCAGCACCATTTATTGAACAAACTGTCCGTGTTCCATTGCATATTCTTTGCTCCTTTGTCAAAGATTTTGTCCATGTAAGTGTGGCTTTACTTCTGGGCTC